TACTTTCATATATACAACCACAAGGCCATCAATATATTTATAATTAGACCCCATAGATATATACACCGTGGTCGTAGCGGGAGGTTCATGGATGCGTAGACTGGACCAAAAATCAGTAAATAATTGTATAGGGAGGCCCTTAGTCATGATATTCGTGAACTGATGCGAGGACGGCACATGCATAACACGAACTTCACCAAGCGCGACCTTCTCACGGATGAAGTGAATGTCGATCTCGATGTGCTTGGTTCGACAGTGATGAACGGGGTTAGCTGTCATGTAAATAGCACTAACGTAGTCATAGAAGACAACCATGGTAGAGGGTAGTGGTAGATGGAGCTCCTGGAGAAGCTGGCGCAACCAGCATCACTCAACGATGGTGTGGGCGATGGCACGGTACTTCGCTTCAGCACTGGAGCGAGAGATGGTGGACTAACGCTTAGACGAGTAGGACACTAGGTTGTCGTCGGGGTAGATGCAGAAGCCTAACGTGGAGCGACGGGAGTCAGGGCACCCCACCTAGTCGGTGTCTGAGTATGCCATGAGGGACTAGACAGGACTGGTGCCAATGTGTAGATAAGCAGAAAGAGTGCCCTTGATGTAGCGGAGAATGCACTTGATGAGAGAAAGGTGCATCTCCCGAGGTTCGTGCATGAAGAGGCACACCTCCTAGACCGCAAAGGCCAGGGAAGGGCGGGTGAGAGTAAGATAGTGTAGCACCCTGGCGAGGCTACAATACTTAGAAGGGTCGATGACTAGGGCACCATCTGTAGTTGAGAGCTTGGATTTGGAGTCCATATAGGCATCTCGGTGGGATGGCACTCGGACATGCCAGCACGCTGAAGAAGCTAAACAACATACTAGCGCTGTGAGAGGAACAATCCGTCGGAGGAGCATATGACGGGGATGCCGAGGAAGTGGTGGAGTGCCCCGAGATCAGTCATCGCGAACTCCGATCTGAGGCGCGTAGTGATGCGGCGTAGGAGGTCCGATGAAGAGTCTGTCAGGATGATGTCATCGACGTAGAGCAGCAAGTAGACAACGTTGTCTCGATCTTTATAGATAAAGAGAGACGCATTACTGGCGGAGGGCATGAAGTTGAGCTGGCGAAGATAGGTATAGGTGGCAAACCATTGGTGCCACGTGCGGGGAGCTTGCTTCAGGCCATGGAGGGACTTCTACAGCAAACATACATGATCAGGTGCAAATGAGTCGACAAAGCTAGGAGTCTGCTGGCAGTAGACAGTCTCCTCAAGACGGCCATGGAGAAAGGAATTCTTGACGTCAAGCTGGTGGATTAGCCACGACTCAAAATGGCAACGGGTACCCGAAACCCAAGTACCCGATGGGTTTTACCCGATAAGGAGGCGGGTATGGAAGACATTTTGCACCCGCGGATAGGTTATTGGACAAATTCTTATACCCATCGGGTATGCGGGTACGGGTGTGGGTGTATACTACCCATACCCGCATACCCGCGGGTAAAAAAAACCCGCATAAATAATATCCAACCTCTGCAATTTTAGCCCATATAAGCATATAGCTCATATTTGGCCCATATAAGTATATGAGTATATATATTCCAGAACTCCCCCAAACCCTAATCCCCATATAAGCATATTTGGAATGAACCAATGAGGCATATGATCTATTTCAACTAGCTTGACTTGGATATATTTCTGTTTTGCTGCTCTATTGTTGATTTGTTTTGCTGGAAGCTATTATATTTTGGTGTATGAACTCGGGTATATTGTTGGGTGCGGGTTACCCGTCGGGTAAGAATTACCCGTCGGGTGCGGGTATGGAATGAATTTTCTACCCGCCTGCGGGTATGGGTAACCCGACGGGTAAAATTTTGATCTGGCGGGTGCGGGTACGGGTGGCCAGGACCCATCGGGTACGTACCTGTTGCCATCTTTAGCCACGACCGTGAGGTGGTGATGCTAATACAAATGATTTACTTCGAGGTTCAGCTTGCCATCAAGGATGCCTACATCCTCGTTGTTGAGGAAGCCACGAAGGCTTGGAGTCTCTTCCAACTCCGACCTCTTCTCAAGACAATCACAAAGATTGAGCTTGAGGGTTCCACTAAGCTTCACAATGGGCAATATAAACTTTTCGTTGCTCAACCACAACCGATTGGGAGCTTCCAGGCAACCTCTAGCCGTCTAGAAGCCCAAGCTCGAAGAGTAACGAACACAAAGTGCAAGCTAGAGGGAGAACCAAGACTCTTTGTTGAATGCTCTTGCTGAAGAGCTCTTTAATCCACTCCCAAATACAATCTCACACTTGGAAATCACCAAGAACGCAAGGGAGAGCTTGGATGGCCGACAATGGAGAGAGAGTGTTTCACGAGTTGGGGGAGGTTCTAAGAATGTGCAGGCAACCGTTGGAAAGAAGAGAGGAGAGTATAAATACTCCCTCACTCCCCACACCAACGGTACAGACAAGTTGCAGAACTTTTGCAACAGAACACATAACTTCTACGCAGGCCAGAACAAATAGAATATGAAATTTTGCTGGCTTTCTTTTGGATTTTTGAGTTTAGGTTGGAAGTGAGAGCACATGGTTCCCCATAAACTTGCATTTTCTGTCCCCCCTTTATAGTACGGCATACGCCACGTAAGAAGAATTAGGGGGGGGGGTTTTGACAATTCATGATTATGATGATGATAAATAAGGGTCAATACACCACATATCCTAGGAACTCAAAGATGACAGTCTTGATTTGGAAAATTCAATAATACTCACTTCCTCTGTTCCAAACTATAAGTCATTCCAACTTTATTGGTAAAACATCTCAAGTTTGATATAATAAAATAATAATTTTCATGATACCAAATAAGTATCATTGATTCTTTATTGATTATATTTTCAAAGTATATCTATTTGATATCAGAAACCTTTATAGTTTTCTCTATAATTTTGGTTAAATTTAAGATGTTTTGACTCTCCAAGAAAGTTTGAATAACTTATAATTTGGAATGGAGGGAGAACACCACAGGAGATCATTTATTTATTTATTTTTACTTACTTATATAGTACTCTCTACAACAGTCAATAGAGATGGAGTTCGGGGACAGAGGGATTATCTACGTTAGCAGAACTTTTACACTATCTGACCGAATTTTTACACTGTCTGACCGAGTATATGGATGTTTGACTGAAAATGCCCATTAGAACAGTAACGTGGTGGTCAGTGTTCTATTATCCATTTTTTTTCCCTTAAAGGCTCGTTCGGTTAACAAGATTCCTGCCCAGGATTTGTTCCACCTCATCAAAGTTTATATAAATTAGTCTATCATTTCTAGTATGAATCATTCCAGGACATCATTCCCTATCAACCGAACGGCGCCTAAAGCATCTTCGGGAGTTTTATAAAACAACTTTCTATTTTGATTTTTTTAAAGGAAAAAGGGTCCTCTAATATCTCGGTAAAAGAGCTCATAAGTTTTTCTGGGTCATGTTTTTAATTGCAAGTTTTTTCACTCTCTCCATCCTATTAAATCTTTGACACATGCATAGAGTATTAAATGTAGATAAAAATAACTAATTACATAGTTTGATTGTAAATTACGAGACGAATCTTTTGAGTCTAGTTAGGCTATGATTGAACAATAATTATCAAACATAAATAAAAATGCTACAGTGTCCAATACTTATTCCTGGTCCAAAGTAAACGAGGCCCACGTTGAGGACCGGTTTTCCGCGCTATATCTCTTTCCTTGGCGAGCGATTTTTTTCCTGACGGGAGCAATCTTTGGCGCGATCTGTTTCCCGGCTACCCGTCACGCCGACCCCGCCGGCCGCCGGCCGCCGGCTGTAATGTTGAAAAGTCATCTGACTTGTCTTGTCTCATTCATCGAAGTGAAGCATCACGTGTTTGTAAAGCATATGCCCACCGCCTGGCCGGAAAGCATGGACCTGGGCGCGCCTCGCGGGCAGCTTCGGGAGTAGATGCAATCTTCTCTTCAATTTTTTTTTTGATGAACAACACGTTGATCTGTGTTGTGGTACAGTATTTTTTTTAATTTTGTTGAATATAAATATAGATCATGGAGAATCCAAGTTTTTAGTGAAAATGATGATCTTTTAATAAACCAAAAAATAGATGTGGGTCGGTGTTTGGATCTAGAGTAAAGTTTTAGTCAATCAGACATTCGGCGTTAATTAGAAGTACTTCTTCCATCCTAAAAGAAATAATGTTTTGAGATTTTTTAGACAGAATAGTGAAGAGGGAGAATGTCCCTAATACACTTAGTATGCCACACATGATTACCTTAAAAAAAGAAATATCGCGGGGTTTACTTTCTAATTATGACACGCTGCATGTAAGCATATAGATATCCGAAGCAGGCAACAATCGCTAGCGCATCTCAATGGGTAATTTGACGTCGGATCTGTGGGCCAACAACATGTCTAAAACTCAGAACATCATTTTTTCTGGAATAAATTTTAAATAAGAGAACATCACTTTTTTTACGGAGGGAGTATTAAACACGAGTTAATTATAAAACTAATTACACAAATGGAGACTAATTTGTGAGACGATCTATTAATCCTAATTAATCCATTATTAGCACGTGTTGGACTAATTAAGTTTAATAGATTTGTCTCGTAAATTAGTTTTATAATTTTCTATGCTTAATCAAGTGTTCAAACATCTGATGCGAAAACGGAAAAAAAATAGTCCCTGTAACCTAACGGGTTAGTACTAATAGAAGACTGTTATTTTTATACTGTAACTGATAGAAGACTATTTGAAAATGCTCTGACCATTAGAACAGTAACGTGACGGCGCAGCCTATCCATCCTTCTTCCCTGGCCACGGCCGCCAAGAGCAGTCAGCACCGAATCCTTGATCCATCTCTCCCTCGACCAACCCCAACCCCGCCTCGACCTTCCCTCTCCCTCGCCCCCACCCCACCCCACCCACTCTTCTTTCCATGTGCTCCCTTCCTCCCTCCAGGCTTCATCATCCTCATCCCCTTCCGCCTCCCATGTGCCGCCCCCATCTCCTCCCCCTCCTCCTCTCCGCCCTCCTCCTCCTCCTCCGCCCCATCCCGCTCGCCTCCCAACTGGCCGCCCCCTCTCCGGCGCCGCCGCAATGCGCGCTCAACTTCACCGCGCTGCTCCCCTTCCTCGCGCCGCCGCTGCCGTCGGACGACGCCTCCCGCTGCGCGGTCGCCACGCAGTCGGTCGCCTTCCTCCTCTCGCTCCACCTCGCGGCCACATCATCCTTCGTGCTCCCACCCAACGCCTCCTCCTGCCTGTCCCCGCTCCGCGCCGCGCTCCCCTACCCGCTCCCCGCGTCGGCCTGCGGCCTCTCGGGCCTCGACGCCGTCCTCGCCTCCCCGGGCTGCGGCAACGTCTCCACGGTCGCCGATTTCGACGCGCTCGTCCCGCCCGCCTCGCGCCGGGACATCGACGCCAGCTGCGACCGCGACCTCTCCGCCGTCCCCGACTGCACCGCCTGCTCCACCGCGCTCAGCAAGGCTGCCGCGGCCTATCTCCTGGCTGGATCCCCGAACGCCACTGGGAATAACAATGTCACCGGGTGCGTGCAGTACCCCTCCATCTACGCCGGCGCCGAGGCTAGCCCGCGCGGGCCCGCCGACCCGGCCACTGCCTACTGCCTCTTTCTACTCAAGGTGAACCCGCCTCAGTCCCACAGCTCCGGCGTTGCCCCCTGGGTCTACGGCGTCGCGTTCGGCTCCCTCGCGGCAGTGCTGCTCCTCGCGGCAGCAGCGGGATGCTGCTTCGTCGTGAGGCGGAGGCGGGCGCGAGCTGCCGCTGCCGCACTGGCCGCAGACAGCAGGAGCAAGCGCTCTCAGGCCATGGAGTCCATCAGCGCCAGCACCACGCTCGTCAAGTTCACCTACGACGATATCAAGGCTGCCACCGACGGGTTTGCCAGGGAGAGCATTATCGGCCACGGTGGCTTCGGGAATGTCTACAAGGGGGTGCTGCGCGACGGTGCCGAGGTGGCGGTGAAGCGATTCAAGAACTGCTCCGCGGCTGGGGACGCCGCCTTTGCGCATGAGGTGGAGGTGGTGGCCAGTGTGCGCCACGTCAACTTGGTCACGCTACGTGGCTACTGCATCGCCACCACACAGAGGGAAGGCCACCAGCGGATGATCGTTTGCGACCTGATGCACAATGGCAGCCTGTATGACCATCTGTTCGGTGCCGGAGAATGCCAGTTGGCGTGGCCGGTGAGGCAGAGGATTGCCATTGGCATGGCGAGAGGGCTGGCCTACCTGCATCGTGGTGCACAGCCAGCCATTATTCACAGGGATATCAAAGCGAGCAACATCTTACTTGATGATGAATTTGAGGCCAAGGTGGCTGATTTTGGACTGGCCAAGTTTGCGCCTGAGGGGATGACACATGTGAGCACAAGGGTTGCCGGAACACTAGGTTATGTTGCCCCAGAGTATGCACTCTATGGCCAATTGACTGAGAAGAGTGATGTGTATAGCTTCGGTGTTGTGCTTCTTGAGCTTCTGAGTGGAAAGAAGGCGTTCATTTCTCTCGGCGAGGGACAGAGCTTTGTGCTCACTGATTGGGCTTGGTCTTTGGTGCGAAGAGGGAGGACAGTGGAGGTGATCCAAGAGGGAATGGTTGATCCTGGTCCAACTAAGATGATGGAGAAGTATGTGCTTGTTGGTGCACTCTGCACACATCCCCAGCTGCATGCAAGACCTACAATGGAGCAGGCGCTGAAGATACTTGAGGCTGATTCAGTACCAAGTCCTTTGATTATTCCTGAGAGGCCAATCCCTGTTGTTGCAGACCTGGCTGAGATTGAGAGGTCAGCCAGCAGCAGTGGATCAGGTCAGCTGTTTAGCCCCTCTGGTTTCCGATCTTTTATTCATGCGAATGTGGATGCTGCTGTGGTGTCTCCAAATGAAACATGACCGTTTACTTAGACAATTAGTGAAATGATATCACTAGAATTCACTGTGTACCATAATTGTTTTTGTTTGCTCGATTTTGTTTCATTGGCTTACAAACTCCTGGCAAATATTGTATAGCAATTTACAATTTTGCTATGACAAAATTTGAGGTTCTTGGGTGACAGGTGAATTCATTGAACATTATTAGTGATATTTCCATTGCTACATATTGATATTTCGAATATGCAGTAACTGTTCATCAGGATGTTGAAGAGTAGCTCATAGTTCCATATATAGGTCATATCATTTGGTCGGAAGAGCATGTCAATCTTTTGGATAGAAGATTTCATCAGCTTCTGTATTTTATGGCATAAGGATAGGAGGAAACATAAATCCATATTCATTATTATGTACTATGTCTGTTAAATTGTTTTTAGCAGTCGGAGTTGGTCTGACATCTTATGATGGGTTGTCGGTGTTTTGCCATGGGAAGTCGGAGCTGCTAGCTGCTTTGCAACTATGCTCGGCAACGATGACTCATGGTAGAGTGTACTTTGTCGCGTTGCGTGGGTGGGTAACCTTTCGTGGTGTCTGGCGCCACGCTTGGCTACCTTTTGCTTGTATATAAACTTCATTCGTCTTAATTGAAAGGCAGAGCTCCTGCCATTGTTTCAAAAAAAAAATTGTTTTTGGCAGTCTCAAGGTTTTATGTCAGTTATTGGCCTCAGACGTAAGTTATGATTGCCAAGAAAAATGCCAAAGGATAAGCTTTTGGACCTGAGCGTTTTATTATTATTAACAACACCAACATTCTCTGATGTAAGGTTTTGTGACACAAATATCTGATGCATGTATGTAGCACTAAGGTAAATAAAGTAACCAAGCCAAAGTAGAAACATCAGCATTGATATTATCGTTTTTATATATCAATTTAAGCACTGGCATAACCACTAGAGACATCATGATACATTACTAATGTAGTAGTCAAAATATTGTTGGAGTAGTTATTGATTGGAAAGATAAGTAATACTTGATAAATGCAATGTAAGGCAGATATATCTTAACTGTAATGTATATATAAACCATACCTGTTGTTTAGATACAACTGTCGTTAGATGACATACAACCTAGATGCAATAACATTTTTTTAATGTGACCAGCAACACTGAAATTCAATAAAACTTCCATTGCTTTCTTAAGGACAATTTTTTCTGTCTACAAACCAGCTGAGGTTCGCGTGATCTGAGGGCATCCACGTCAGCGTATTTTTTGTGTACCGTGCAATCCTATTTTAACGGTCCTTGTTTACCCCACCGTTCATATACTGTACGGAATATTTTGTCCAACTAAGTTCATATTTCTTGCATCTATGCCCACCTTCTTTACTGTCGGCGGTCAACAAAGCATATACTGGCTTATAGTGGTTCAATCATTCGCTAGAGTTCACGCTCCTTCTGATCTTTAGGTGAGTGTGTTCTCCTTTTCCTTTATTTTATATTCTTTCCTGTTGCATTTTATAGCTCTAATCTTTGTGCGCAGGATTAATTTCTCCTTCTCCATCTACAGAGATTGATAGTGCCTACTTATTTAGGGGGATGGCGAAAATTTTTGCAAAATGCCACTGTAGCATTTTTCATTGTTATTTGGTAATTAATGTCCAATCATAGTCTAATTAGGCTTAAAAGATTCGTCTCGTGAATTTCGTCTAAACTGTGTAATTAGTTTTATTTTTTATTTATATTTAATGCTTCATGCATGCGTCCAAAGATTCGATGTGACGGAGAATCTTGAAAAATTTTGTAAAATTTTCTGAAACTAAACTAGACCTTACATAAATGTCAATAGAAATGTGCTCTTCTTTCTTGACTCCTTTCCTTCCCACCTTCTCCCTCTCCCCCTTCTTGTACCCATGCCCGATTCGTTAACACACACATATTTTGTGTTACACCATAGCAACACCTAGTGTTATTTGTTGTATCCTTTGCTTCCAAATTATTATTATAAAGACCCTAGCCGGCTTGTAAACAAAAAATAAGCAAGGTTTCTACTTTGACAATGTGTCTGACAGGCTGATCTTCATCTCTTTCTTTTTTGTTCCTTATAAAAAAGGATTCTCCATGGCTAGTTTTACTGTTTTGCCTATGGAGATTCCTGTTGTCGGTGTTTCGAGTTACCACCGATGAATAAATTTCTAGTATTACGTGTCTGACTCGGATGGTATGCTTAAAGGATATGAGGTTTATAATAGTTCGGGCAGAAAGTCCCTACGTCCAGTTCGTCGCTGATGCTCGTGTTAATAGCACTGAAAGTTTATAGTAGGGGTTACAAACGGGTGAGAGAGGGAAAGGATCCCAAGTCTCTGGTGGAAGAAGCGAGTGGGTGCTGAGAGCTTGATCGCTGCTCAGCCGTGTGTTCGTGTCGTGCTCTTGTGCGGATCTGGCTCGATCTGTCGATGGGTCGATCCCATTCATGGGGCGCCCTGCTTTCCCTTTTATAGGTCAAGGGAAAGCGCGGGTTACAACGGAGGAAAAAGAAAAGAACGAGAGAGAGAAGGCTTCCAGGATCGTCGGGTCCTTCTTCTGCTTCATGTGGGTCTCGCCGATCCTGTAGACGTCAACAGGGATGACTCCATGTCGTGGCCCTGTTCGTCACTGACGCCATGCGCAGGCGTCGTCTGCTGTTCATGGCGTTCCATTCCGTCCCGACGGACGTCGTGATGAACTGACGCGCCTATCAGCGTTCGTACGATGGTTAGGCAGAACACCACCGACACGCCCGATGCTATTCTTGATGTGAACCCTCAGGTATGGCCCGTCGTGGCCGCGGGTTACATCGAGGCATGCCAGTCCCTTCCCTAGTGTCAGAGTTTTGACCCAGACCCATACGCTTGGACCTGGAGTGGTTGGTGGTGGTATGGGTCCCTGTCGGGCGAGACGGAGCACGAACCCAAGGGGTCGGCGAGGTGGAGCCCGCTCCCAGAGGTCGGGCGAGGCGGAGCCCACACACCTAGGGTCGGGCGAGACGAAGCCCGCATCCAAGGGGTCGGGCGAGACAGAGCTCGCACCCAAGGGGTCAGGTGAGATGGAGATCGTGGCCTCGAGGTCGGGCGAGGCGGAGCCCGCCCCCAGAGGTCGGGCGAGGCGGAGCACGCGCACCTAGGGTCAGGCGAGACGGAGCCCGCACCCAAGGGGTCGGGCGAGACGGAGATCCCGGTGTCGGTTGTTTCAAGTTATCACCGACGAGTAAATTTGTATTATTGCACGTCTGGCTCGGATGATGTGCTTATAGGACACGAGGTTTATACTGGTTCGGACAGAAAGTCCCTACGTCCACTTCATCGCTGCTGCTCGTGTTACTAGCACCGAAAGTTTGTAGTAGGGGTTACAAACGGGCGAGAGAGGGAAAGGATCCCAAGTCTTTGGTGAAAGGAGTGAGTGGGTGCTGAGAGCTCGATCGTCGCTCAGCTGTGCGTTCGTGTCGTGCTCTTGTGCGGATCTTGATGGGTCGATCAGTTTGGGATCCTTTTCATGGGGTGCCCAGCTTTCCCTTTTATAGGCCAGGAGAAAGCGCGGTTTATAGCAGAGGAAAAGGAGAAGAACGAGAGAGAGGAAGGCCTCCAGGATCATCGGGTCCTTCTCCTTCATATGGGTCCCGCTGACCTTGTAGATGTCAACAGGGATGGCTCCATGTCGCAGTCCTGTCCGTCACCGACGCCATGCGCAGGCGTCATCCACCGGTCATGGCGCTCCACTCTATCCTGGCGGATGTCGTGGTGAACTGACACGCCTGTCAGTGTCTGTACGAGGGTTAGGCAGAACAGCACCGGTACGCCCGATGCTGTTCTTAATGTGAATCCTCAGGTATGGCCCGTCGTGGCCGCGGGTTACATCGGGGCACGCCGGTCTCTTCCTTGGTGTAAGAGTTTTGACCCAGGCCCATACGCTTAGACCTGGAGTGGTTGGTGGTGGTATGGGTCCCCGTCGGGCGAGACGGAGCCCACACCCAAGGGGTCTGGCGGGGCGGAGCCCACGGCCTCGAGGTCGGGCGAGGCGGAGCTCGCCCCCCAGAGGTTGGGCGAGGCGAAGATCACGGCCTTGGGGTCGGGTGAGGCGGAGCCCACTCCCGGAGGTCAGGCAAGGCAAAGATCGTGGCCTCGGGGTCGGGCGAGGCGGAGATCGCGGCCTCGGGGTCAGGCGAGGCAGAGATCACAGCCTCAGGGTCGGACGAGGCGGAGCCCACCCCTAGAGGTTAGGTGAGGTGGAGCCCGCACACCTAGGGATCGATTGGAGCTGTAGGCGCGCTTTTGACTGCTCGGTTGAATCAATGTTGATGACCATTAGGTCCTCCTCTTCGGGTACCCTAGTGTTAGTCCCCGACAGTAGCCCTCGAGCCTACTAAGGAGTAGAATACTCCTTCAGAGGCTTTTCCAAACAGGAGGACTCTGAGGGCCTTGGCCTTTTCTTGTCACCCATGGCGTGTCCTGGGGATGGCGATTCCCTTTCGTCGTGATCGGGCCTGTTGGGGGTATAGCCGTGAGATTTGGTGGGTCAAAAAAGGTCTTTCCTGATTTTGAGCCCTATGGGGGTCTGTCATTCTACGACCGTGCGTTCAATCTCCTTGTGAGACCAACTTTCCTCGAGCCCCCATACATAGTAGGTGTCCGGTCGAGGGTCCGCTCGTCTTCGTGACTGTCTTCCCTCAAACGTTTTTTTTCGATAAAAACGGAGGGGCTGAGCTATGCCATGATTTTCCTCTATGGACAAGCCATGGTGCTCGGTGAGTTGTTAACGGGCTAGTCTGAGTGGGGCCCCATCATCCCATTCGCGGGGGTCCAGCTTGGGTCAGCTGGTGTCTGACTCCAGATTCTTAGCGGTCAATCGATATAGTTCTTAGGTTCGTTTGATCGGTCCTAAGGGCTCTCTGCCTTTCTTCGAGGGAAAACCATGGATCGAATTCACCCGAGGCTCAAAAGTGGGCCGAGACGCCCGCGGTGCTCGTGCGCCTAGGTACTAGCCGCTAGT